CCGCCAATTTTTTTTTTTTTTTTTTTTTTGCCCGTTTTTTGTGGGCTACCGGTAGCACCCCGGTGGGTACCCCGCCCGACGCGGCGCGTATACGGCCGCGTCGTTTTTTTCAAGCAGGGCGAGGTACTGGTGGTTTAAGAAAAAGGCTTTACAGGGCTGAAAAAAAAAACAGGCTTGGAACCACACCACTACCCCCGAGCCTCATAGAACTGTGCGCCCAACTTTGCTGAAGCGCCAGCACAACCTTTTTTTTTTTTTTTTTTTTTCCCATCGGCTAGCTCAGTAGGTTTCATGCCTGAGCGGCACCGCATAGGTGCTGGAATCTATAATCCCGTTGCCGTCACTTCCAGTGGCCTGAGGAGGATGGCTGCGGCCAGTCAACGCTGGTAGCTGGCCGGGGGGAGCTGTGCGGCCCTGTAATCCGTGGCAATCCGGCAGCGTCAGGTCAGGTGGAAGTGGCTGCTCAGGTCTGCTGCGGGGGGCCGGGACACACCCAATAAAATAATTCTCAGGTTGAATTCTCAGTCAGAAATCATCATCGCTGACATTAGTGGCTCGACTATGATGCCTGTCTATCAGGGTTGAGACCCTCAAGTTACACCCAAAAAGAATAAAAAGAAAAGAAAAAGAGACCCTCAAGTGTTACACAATATGTTCACGAGGCTTGCACTCTCAACATAGCACCTTCCATAACAGAAGCTCAATAACCGTTAATCATGACATATAGGGCCTCACTGCACTACTCTGGAAATGTGCAAAATGAGACTGTATCCACAGCTAGAACATGGAAAGATACATTGCCATCTTTGTCGTCTTTTGTGCATGTCGAGAGTAGTGCAGCGAGGCCCATAATCTACAATGACTTCCATAATAATCTCGAATTCCTTGGGGCCAGTCACCTGTGGATATATCTCAAGACTGTGGCCCTTTTTTAAAAAGAAAAAGAAAAAGAAAAAGAAGTGTAATAGACCTTCTACTCAGAGCACAATTGTCCTTAAATAACTCTTGAGTCTTGATCCTTCCCAAGTTCCCCCCTTTTGACAAAGTCCCACGCAAGCCAATCTCTCCTCCTCCTCCTTTCCCGAACAAATCTATGGAGGTTGCAAGCTCCCTCCTTCCTCCTTGGCTATGGGAGTCTCACACCTGCACCAACCTCAGGCAACATTGTTCAGGACAAATCTCTTGATTTTACTCTCACTCAAGCTCGGTTCCTTCCTGTTTGTTGTCCCAAGAAGTGATGAGAGGAGGGGAGAAAGGAATAATAATAAAAATAATAAAAAGAACTATAAATAAAATAATAAAAGTAATAAAAATAATAAAAATAATAAAATATTAAAAGAATAAATAAAATTTTAGAATTTAAAATAAAATAAAGTAATAATAACAGGCTACCAGAGTGGCCCGGGACAACTTGCCATCCGGGCCAAAAAACAAATAAAAAAATAAAAGCATAAAATATATTTTTTAATTTTATTTTGTATTTTAAATTTGGTAGAGAATTTCGATGTGACCCTGATGCAAAAGGTGCTCAGTTATTTTTCTGCATAACATAGTTGTTTTTCGGATTTTTTTTCATGTATATATATCGTGGCTACGCCGGACCCGGACCCGGACATTTCCGGACATGGACCCGGACCCGTGTCTGGTAGTTTCCGGACGTCCAGAATTCCGGACATTTCCGGACCTCCGGACATGGAGGGACCCGGAAGGTCCGGGGCAAGGTCTCACTTGCACGGATTAAGAGATTCTGTCCGTTGATCTTTGCTATCTACGGTCAATATCGCTTAATTTGTTTAAGTGGGACCTAGGCCCCGGATGTCTGGACAGGTCCGGAAATGTCCGGACCATTAAAAAAAGTATGTTATGCAGAATAACAATGCAAACCACTTTTGCCTCGGAGTCATGTCAGAATTCCTAACCAAACTTCAGTTAAAAGTCAAAAACTATAAAAAGCTTAAAAAAATACTTCAAAAACTAATAAAAGGTAATGAATTATTAATAATTTAAAAATTGGGGTTGTCTAGTAAATTATTATAGAGAGAGAGAATGTCCGGACCCCCCAAAAAAGCATAATCGGGCCTGAAAAAAACCCAAAACAATTTTGGGGGCTTGGCTCCTCAATGGGGAAGGGTCCTGGACCCTTTTTTTTTTTTTTTCTCGAAATTTGGCAGATCCGGACCTTCCAGACGGGACGTCTGGAGTCCGGACTGAATCCAGACCGTCTGGACGGCGGTCCGGACGTCCGGATCGTAGCCATGATATATATAGATATATTTTTTGGGGGGGGATTCCCTGGTCCTTGCACGGCCTGGCTGGTAACCTAGTAATAGTAATGATAACAGGGTGACCCGGGCAGCCCGGCTGGTAGCCTAGTAATAATAATAATAATAATAATAATAATAATAATAATAATAATAATAATAAGAAGAAGAAAGGAGGAGGAGGAGGATGAGAAAAGAAGGAGAGGAAGACGAAGAAGATGATGGCGAAGCATTCCAAGCCAACCCCCCACTCGTTCTTCTGCACTTGTCAAGGGAGATCCCCCATGTAAATGCCTTTGGTAGATTCTCCCAAGCAAATGCTTTACCCCTAGATCTCTACACCAAGCAGGAGTCTACTCGCTCCCATCCCAACTACTGTCTTCACCCAAAAATAACACCCGGGCGTTCAATTCACCTTACCCAAAAAAGATCAGATGTTGTTTTTTACTCTCTTTTTTTGCTTTCAAATAGAATGGCCCTTTGAATAGAACGCCCAGGCGTTATTTTTGAATGTTCCATGGGCAGAGTGCCTTGTAGAGGTAGTATACATGGCATACTTGCGGCGCACCGTGGTGCGCGCCTCAGCGCACGAGTTGCGCACGCAGCGCCCCTTGTAGAGGTAGTATACATGGCATACTTGCGGCGCACCGCGGTGCGCGCCTCAGCGCACGAGTTGCGCACGCAGCGCCCCGCACCCGGTGCGGCGCACCCAAATAAATAGGGTCGC